CAAAACAACGTAGCAATAAAAAAAAATTATTGTATTTGTTTAGTGTAATTCTTACTTTCACTTAAAAAACATAAATCCTGTTATGAGAATTAAAGAGTTCATCCATCAGTGTCTGACTACGACCAATGGATCCGAAGAGAATATCTCTCAAGTGATATGAAAGAATTAAAGATTAAGATGACTTGTGACTTCCACTATGGCTAATGAGACCAGTTCTGATAGAAGAGAAAAGTTTGCCACATTTTGAGCATTAAAAACAACACTTCCACCTCTGGAGGCGTGCAGCGATTAGGCTTCTTTTTGATTTCACTATTTCTCTTTGGACAATTAATGGCAAAGAATAATCCTGATCCATCAATGCTGCATGAACAAAGAGAAATTCCGGTTAGTTTAGCTTGTCCTGTAACACAAGGTCAAGGGAAGCACTTTTCAGAACTTTTCTTATCATTATCACAGCCACAAACAATAAAAACAGACTGCAATAATGGTAGCAATGAAACCTGCTGTCAGTATCAGAGAAAACCTTCATTTGAAAAGAGAATAAACAAATATAAGATTATAAGTCTCATCACCATGGAAACAAAGAGCAACAAACTTTTATTTTCAGCCAGTACAAATCAGCCACGACTATTGTGAAGAATTAAGTTCAAGTGTTCTAGCTCGAACATGCCTATACAAAATAATGACATCATTTCAGACATGGATAGATAACAAACATCATTGGTATTTTTTAAATTGTGTCAAGGCATTTGCAGTCACTTCTTTGATTAGATTGAACTAACATGGTACATCTATAGTACTCTTGTTTAGACAAATGTACTATGGGGTTGTTTTGATAGCAGGCTATCTGCAGTAGTGTGAAAGGATTGTTACGTGGACAGACTTGAAATATTTCGATCCAAAACATTCCTCACCAAACTCTGAAGTGCATTTCAGAAGAGATTGAAGAGCGTTTTGTTCAGCCTTTGTTGTTGTTATGTCAATAAATATGTTTGGGGCAAACTTTAATAGACTGAATTTCTAGTGATTCCAATGACCTTTTCAAGAAGTCAAGAGTTTACGAAGATTGTTTCACTTGGCACATTCTTTGTCTGTCCATATAGCCTTCCACATTTTAAAAATCTGTTTAATGCCAAAGTTGCACCATTCATCAGCTGGGAAAGATACACCAGATAAGAGAGAAAGTTATGTTAATTGAATTTAATTGTCCAAAGGAACAGTGGAGAGTTTAAACTTTTTGCTGTGTAGAAACCATGTGTAAAAGAGGTAGCCTGAGGATTGTTACTGGGACAGTCTATAATTGAGGAATATGAAACATTCCAAACTACCAAAATGAGATCTTGTGAAAGGATTTTGGTCTTTATTGATTATTTAGAAAGGCATTAACACAATCACCTATTTTTGTCGCAATTAGCAAATTTTACTGGTACTATTTTGCGGATCACCGAAAATAGTGAGGATTGTTTCACTAGACAGTAAATCTTGGTCTGTCCATGTAATATTCCACCCCCAGCAAATAGGAGGACTTGTGTTTAACTGATGCTAGATGCATTTTACTTCAGTGGTCGAGTTGAACATTTTTTTGTGGGATACATTCGTTTAAAAATAAAAGAGGATTAATTGTCCATTAAAACTACATAAGAGAGTGTTCATTTGCGGTTTTTTTGCAAACAAAATAGGAGGAATGTTACATGGACAATCACTTTGTCACATTCCTCTCCCAAAACATTTGATATCCAGACTATGCAACATCTTAGCGGTCAGTAGATTGTGTCTTAACCCTTCCAGCCACATGTGCGTATATTTTCAGCAGCGCTTGTACCTCCCACCATCCAAGAGCGTATCTATTCTCAGTTTCGGGGGATACAGAATTTGCACATTTTTCTAAATTAATGAACCTAATTAAAGTTTAAATTTTCTTAATATTTGTCAGTTTATCTTTAAACATTGTTATATGTTATTATCTAAACCTAATTAAAAAGACACTATACTACATCACATTTTAGAATGCATGCCTCTTTTTCTGAAATACGGCTGTATAGGCAGGGACTGGGGTAAGGGAGTGCATAAAAATGGCTGGGACTGGAAGGGTTAAGTTCTCAACACCTGTACATGGTAGAATAATCTTTTACAAATGATAATATATTTCTTTTTTAAAAATATATGTTTGCAGCAAGATACCCAAGAGGTTTGTTTCATTGGACAGTATGTCTACATTTGTCCGTGTAACAATCTACCCATGAATTTATCAAAAACTTGCTTGAAATATTGTTTGATGTCGTTTGGTCCATTGCTGCAAGATATTTGATATCAAGACTGAATAAATAAGCAGGTTGTGTTTTGAGATCTCAGCAACTAAACATAGTCAAATGATCTTATGCAGATAAAATCAATAGTTTTTCGGTAAGATTCCTCAAGACTACCAAGATTAGTGAGGTGAAAATGGTGAAATGTTATGAGTTTAACGCCCCTGTCAACACTATTAGGTTATTTAAGAGGCGGGACCTCCTAATTTAACGTCCGTCTCCGATAGGACCGAGCCAAGTGGGAAGTTCGTGTAAAGTGCCTTTCCCAAGGACACAACTTCAGACCGAGCTGAGGCTCGAACCCCCGAACCCGCAATCTCATGACTACGAGTCCAGTTGCCTAACCACAAGGCTACCAACGCCACTGAGATTAGTGAGGATTGTTTCATCATCTGACGATAAATTTAATCCTGTCCGTGTAACATTCCATTTATAATTTTGCCTAGGACTAGGACTGTAATGAATCATACAATGGGGATTTTGAAGCCCACATTGTGATAAAACTTTTGAAAAGGATAAAAAACATTTTAGTCCCATTCAAACGGAGGAATTGTGGGTTTTAGAACGACAACCAGTTAGGTCTGTAATTGGGACTGGACTGTTTCAAGGACATTCAGAAGGTTCATCCCCATGTAACATTCCTCTCGCAAGGATTTCACAAGGACAGGTTTTTCTGCAAATGTGTTTAGGAAAAGTTTGAACCTGAATAAAGTTTTTTTTATCATTTACAGATAAATGCCAGTTTTTTTATATTGATTTCTCATGCTATGTGAACAGTGAGGATTGTTTCATCCGTCATTCTTTATCTGGGCATTGTTACATCCTTACCATGAGTGTTTCTTTTGCACTCCATTGATGTTTTCAGTGAAGTAATGAGTAAATTAGTTAGTAGAAAGTTCATGTATGATAGAGGGGAGAAAAAAGAATAGGAAAAGGTTATCAGGACTGGCAGACAAACTGAAATAGGCACTGTGGCCTGTAATATGAAAAGGCTCAGACAAATAATAAAGGAGGAGTAGTATGGAATCTGTTCAGTCGATAGGTCTACAAGATACATTAAAACTTTACAGCACAGTGATGAATTCATAACTTAGCCTACTTTGAATTAAGTTTTTTTGTGAAGGGGAGAAGGAATTTCCGGCAAAAAGATAGTGGAGGTAGAGTGTAATCAGACCTAAGAAAGAGTATGTAGATCCCTTTTTTTTTTGCCAGTAACGTTGAAACTCTTTGGTCATCTTAGAAGGTGAAGATTGTTTCAAATTGTCTTATTGTTGGGTCGACTGAGAGTTCAGAGAGCAAGGCCAGTTCCACTCCAACAGCCTATTTTGCCCCCTGCAAGACTCTCAAAGCCTCCACTCACTGATGCAGAGAAGACAAAGAGGAGATATGACAAAAGAAAAGAGCAGGATCCAGATGGTCACAAAGCCTATCTTGCCATGAAAAAAAGAAGAAAACAAACAACGAAGGGCGAAGCTGAAAGAAACTGCCACAGAGGAGGAGAAAAGGACTCAACGAGAGAAAACCGAGGCCAGAGCAACCAAATGTCGAGAAACGAAAAAAGCGGAGAAAGAAAGATTTAATGCTGAGGGCGCGTGCCCTGACACTGATGCTACCACTAAGAAAAGAAAACCGATAACTAGAAAGGAGCTGCAAAAGGCTGAGCTTCACAGAAAAAGGGACAGTGAGAGAAAAAAGAGAGAGAGAGAAAGGGGTGGAGTTGGCAGAAAAAGAAAGCAAAAAGCCTTAAGGCAAAGGAGAAAAGGCAGAAGAAGAAAGACAAGGAAAGGACACAGAAAGACCAGAATAGTCCGAGAAAAGTTGTTGATCCAGACACGGGAGAAAACAGAACTGAGGTCGCAAGGAAGCAAGCCTTGTACAGGGTCCGGAAAGCTCTTCCGAAGGATCCTGCACAGCGACAACAAACCCCCAAAGAATTTGACGCATATGATACGAAAAACAGTGCTTCAAGAAAGGGTGCATAAACTTTTCAGCTGCTGTGACAAGCGGGTGATGAGAAGACTGGCCCAGCGCCTCTCTACCATGGATCGCCAATCGAGGACAGCTGGACGGAAGTAAATACAGATGTCTTGCCAACGTCTGTGCAGTATGCAGAGAAGCCATTCCTTCACAACGGTCTGTTTGAGGAAGTCCCATGAAAACAAGCTGACAAAGAGTCGACTTTCTGAAGCAGCATGCGGCACCGTTCGCAGATAAAAAAAGGGGCAACCAAGACAGGGACGACAATGCTCCTGCAAGAAGATATGGCCACCTTATTCGCTCTTTTCAAGCAGCGCCATCCTGACACCACCGTGTCGAAAAGTTTATTTTATAAGTTGAGGCCAAAGAGCCTCAAACTGCCACAGTCGCAGCAAATGAACCAGTGCCTTAGTGAGCCATGCGATAACATAGACCTTAACCCAATCGCACTTATAGCGCCCGCATGCGCCCGCTGAAATCGTACTGCTGCTGCCCTTATAGCACCCGCATGCGCCCGGAAAAAGGGCGTCGGCCGAGGCGTCATTAGAAACGAAAGTCTCGTGTCTATCGGTATTTCCGGCAAAACCACGTGAGAGTCCGAGATTCGCAGTGCATCTTGGTCTTTGTTTGATTGAAATCGGTCCATTGGTAGTGAAACCGCGAAGCTCCAAAGTTTGGAAAGGTTTGTTTACTAAATTCAACTGTTTTTCGTTCGATATGGATGAGGTTTTACGTTTGTTTCACGATGCAAATGAAAGCATATATGGTGGTGATTACCCTGGTTTGGACTTTGATTTAGGTCTAGGCACTAGGACTGTGAATCAGGATTATGAATCGGACATTGATGATGAAGCTGTGTTTCACGGTCACGAGGAAGAGGAAAATGTCGCGGCTCAGGCTCCGAGTCAAGACGACAACAGTGGTGCGGAATCTGTTGACTGGACCCCTGTCAACCCAACTGACCCTGTCCCTCCCTTGAATCTCCAACCTTGCACTAATTCAAGTGACCAAGGCCCCGTTGATCCCCTTCCTAGTTCCTCCTCCCCCTTCGATTTCTTCTCACTATTTTTTTATGAAGATATGTCCCAAATGATGGCTGACCAGACCAACCTTTATGCAGTACAGCAACAACAGCGCAAGGGTAAAGTGGATGAATACTGGAAGCCTGTCACTGTCGCTGACATGAAAGTTTCTTTGAACATTGTGATTGTTATGGGAATTCATGTGCTTCCTGAGTACTCCATGTACTGGTCGACAGACGATCGACTCAGAGTTGCGGGCATCGCGGATGTGATGGGCAAGAATAGGTACGAAAAGATAAACCAGTACCTGCATTTGAACGACTCGTCGCAGGCTGTGGCTCGTGGTGCGGAGGGACATGATCCTCTTTACAAAGTGCGTCCTGTCATCAAAAACTTCCGCAAAAGGTGAGTGTATATATTTATTATTTATTATATAATTATAGATATTGATCTAGAGTCTAGATCTAAAAATAAAAAATACTAGATCTAGGAAAACAATCGACAGGTATGCTCTTTACGACAACTATTATTTCTTACTCTTCTCAATTAGAATTTAATAAATTTATCAGCATACGTACAAAATATAAATTTCACAATCACGTGCACGATTTTATTATTTTTTAAGCATAAACATAATAAATAATTTTATATCGCATACACTACGCATACATTTTTTGCACATAATTTGATGTTCATATATTTTTATATATTCTAAACATGCACTGAACTTTTCGTAGTCTTTTCCTCAGGTAAATGCTTTTGACGCAGGTTCTTTATTTTTTCTACTTGTTTTTTCTCCCCAGGGCAGCCGATAACTACATTCCGGGAACAAGTCTCTCGATTGATGAAGCTATGATCGCGTACAATGGAAGGCTTCATTTCAAACAATATATAAAGGCAAAGCCAACTCCCTGGGGCATCAAGGTCTGGTGCATTGCGGACCCGCAGAACGGCTACATGCTAGACATTGATGTCTACACTGGGAAGGTAAATAACCCCATGCCCCATGGACTTGGCCACCACGTGGTAATGAATATGGGTAGAAATTACCTAAGCAAGTACCATCATTTTGTGTACGATAATTATTTTAGCAGTGTGAAGCTCGCCGAAGATCTCCTCGCCCAAAACACCTACTGCTGCAGCACCATCCGGGGCTCACGGAAGGGTTGGCCTCAGCAACTAAACAAAGCGAACACTGACAAGATGGCTCCAGGAGAAATCAAAGCCATGACGAAAGGTCGTCTTCTGGCGACAGTCTTCAATGACAAACGGAAAGTGTCGGTTCTCTCCACAAATTCGTCGCCAGGTGTCTCCACCGTCACTCGTCGTGTAAAAGGTGGCATTCAACACGTTGAGATTCCGAACTCCGTGTTGAACTACAACAATCACATGTTTGGCGTTGACCTGGCTGACCAGCTTCGCTCCTACTACGCAGTGGGAAGATCTGGGGTGAAGTGGTGGAGATACATTCTCTGGTTTGTGGTACAGGTGTCAATAGTGAATGCTTGGAACCTGTACCAAGCCGCCCAACGACCCCTTCCATCAAACGCCAGAGGTGTCAGTCACCTGAAATTCAGATTGGACATCTGTTCTGCTTTGGTGGCAGTAAATGTTTCGAAAGGAAAGAGGAAGGTCAGCCAGGGGGTGTCAACAGCAGGACTGGGGAGCTCCTTGTCATCTGACCATCAGCTGGATCGACTCGTGGGACGGAAAGGGGCCTGTCACTGGTGCTCCAAGATAAAAGCCAAGACGAACAAAGGAAGAACACCAGAGACGCCCTATGGCTGTTCCATTTGCAAGGTCCACTTGCACAAGGGACTGTGTTTTGCCAGTTTCCACAAGGAGCTGGCAAGTGCGCAGTAATTGTGTTTATTTCATGGATTATTCTTCATGTGCGCTCGTCACCGTAGTCACCTGGGTGAGTCTTCATGTAACCGAAACTGCTCTTATACTCTCTGTCTCTATTCTTGTCCTAGGTTTTGTTATATGTGTTTGTTGTACACTATTGTGTTTTCATGTATATATAATGTGATGTGGGTGTTTTTCACCTTTTCATATCAAAGAAATTTTTCATTGACCCTCAACATTTATTCCACTCAACTTCAAACACTCACTATTCTCCTTCTAATTGCTCAATGCTTTTGAAATTTCAGGTACACATTTTATAACTATTTTGCTTTTCAGGAAATAAAAAAATAGGGAATTACAAACAATACTTTTTTTAAAATGAATTTTTTAATGTCTTCACCTGTTGCAAACTTTTGGTCAAAATTCGCTTTTTTGTTTTCTTCCAACTTCTCAGTTCCACAATTGCAAAAGATTTTTGTTTACAAGTCTGAAAGTTTTTTTGAAGGTGCTTTGTTCATTTTTCTTTTAGGATCTTTTAAAATTAGAAGGCTAGCTCATTTAGTTTTTTTGCTATAATTTTTTTTTAAATATAGGGGGTTATTTTTGCGGAGTTACGTCCCTTCTCTTAGGGAAGAGGGAAAGTCTACCTGTCGGGCCTGCTAGGTGCAATTGGGTTAAGATCACAGCACTGAGGGCAGCTTATTCAAACATGCCGGCAAGTAAATCAGCGCTGTTGGATGCTGTATTGTGTAGTAAAAAAGGGGAGTACCATCCTTATGACTGTCATGAAATGTGGCAAGTGCGGGCCTGAGAGACTGAAGACACTACTCACTTCCCCGTCAAAGACATCTGTTCAATGCCAGGAGTGGAGAAACAGAAAGTCGACCAAGAAAAGCGGTGTGGTAACAAGAAAAAATCTGGAGATCGAGGAGTGAGGGGTTAATGAGCTCCTGACAAAGCTCGTGAATGAGCTGAGGGCTTTCCCTCTTCACCTTCTGACTGCCAGGTGGCAGTACTGTGAATTAAATAAAATGAAAAGGGAGCTGCAACCCAGAGAGCTCATAATGGTGTACGATTTTGCGGAAAATTTTAGGACATCATACCAAGACAAGGTTCAGTCGGCCCACGGGAACTACCAACAAGTCACCCTCCATCCAGTGGTGTGTTACCAAGTGTCAGGACTGTAACGACTATGCCACACACTCAGTCGTTGCAGTCTCTGATGATCTTAAACATGACTACTTTGCAGTAGACATCATCCTGCAAAGAGTCCTTGCTTTTTTCCAGGAGAGGGGCTGCACATTCAACAAAACCATCGAGTGGTCAGATGGGTGCATGGCTCTGTATAAGAACAAAGGGCCGTCATACCTGCTACAAAGGAAGGGAAATAGCGCCTAAAAGCTTTGCCATTTTTTTTGGGCTCGCGTCACGGGAAAAACCCATCCGATGGCGAGTCTGCTGTGGTGAAGTCAGCAGTGACGAGAGCCATAAAGTGTAGGAGAGTTGTGGTACAAGACGCCTGGCAGCTGTACCAGTTTGCTGTTGGAAACTTGGAGAGGGATTCTGATGAAAGGAGCCAACACTTCAAGAGGAGCTTCATCTTCATAAAGTCCTCTGATGTTTTAAGATTTAACCTGCCGGACCTCAAGCCGTTACCCAACACTAGACTGGTCCACTCAATTGTGAGCCACGGTGGTCAGGTGCTTCAGTACCGCAACCTGTCCTGTTCCTGCGAGGGGTGCGGCCATGAATCTCCATGTCTCAACAGAGATTATGTTGTTGAATGGAAGAGTTACAGCTTCGCAAAGAAAAAGAAGGTGAGAATAGCATTCTTACAGGCCTGGTATAATTAATTAATGTTACAGAAGAAGAGAAAGGTGACACCAATCTCTGTAAAAGCAGAATCTCATTATACTACCCAAATGATTCATTTGGACCAAACTGTCACCACTTCTTTAGTCTCAAGTATTTAACATTTTACGAGTTTCTCCATATTCATATTTTGACATTGAAATGACTTGCATCTGGTAAATTGTGTATTTTTAAAAATCAATTTTTGTTGTGTATTTCATTGCCAGAGACATTGGCCACTCTTTATAAGTATCTTTTTTTATTGTGATAGTCTTTCTGTTAAAAAATATATCGATCTCTTTGCACATATATAAAATTATGTATAAATCTATTGGTGGTGGAAGTAATTTTTCAGTGCTGATGCTTAATGTTTGTCATTGATATTTCAGGAACCTGCTGAGACTCTATTGGAGACTGTGCAGGATGATGAACCTGTGGCGACGCCACTGAAAGAAGTGCAGGATATGCTGACAGTTGCTGTTGCGGATACCATTGACAGCATAGTAAGTAAACTACTGGGTATTGGATTAATTTTTCCCTTTACAGCATTTGGCTATTTCTTGTGCAGATCATTACTTTAATCTCAAAGTTTTCCAAACATTTCTTGAAATGCAAAGAATATCTTAGCAATCAGAAATAATGCCAATTTACACCTACACATTCTTTGACATTGACATGACTTGCATCCGATAAATTGTGTATAGATTTAAAAATCAATTTTTGTTGTGTATTTCATTACCAGAGACATTGGTCCCTCTTTATTAGTATCCTCTTTAATAGTGATAGTCTTTCTATAAAAAGTATATTGTTCTCTTTGCACATATATACGTCTATTTTTCAGTGCTGATGCTTAATGTTTGTCATTGATATTTCAGGAACCTGCTGAGACTCCATTGGAGACCGTGCAGGATGATGAAGCTGTGGCAACGCCACTGAAAGAAGTGCAAAATCTGCTGACTGTTGTAGTTGTGGATACAATGGACTGCAAAGTAAGTATGCCTTTAGCTATTTCAAACTATTTGATGTGCAGATCACAACAATGTACAATTGATTTTCAGTTGTAAAATAATGCCCCTAACTCTAAGAATTTACAAGTACACTGAATGGGTGAACTGAGTTTGATACTCCGCTGCAGCAAATTGTATGCCCTTGGAAGGAGTATTTTTTTCAAAGGGTATAAAAGGGACAGGTCTGGGTAGCCTACTTGACTGCACAGAGTGAAATTGCTCCCCAGGAGGTTGAGAAACTTTATTGAATGCTTTGTTTGATGTATAGAGGGTAAAGGGAAAAGAGCATGTAGAAGCACTTTGGGAGTTTGCTTTTTCACTGGGATTAGGCAGTATATTACTGTATTTCTTCCTTTATTTTGGATTTTCTGTTTCAGAAACCTGTTGAAACAGAGATGATAATGGATGCGCCTCCCCATGATGAAAATGCTGCTTCTATGCAGACAGAACAAGATGAAGTAAGGCATTGAATAATGTTTTATTTTTGTTTTAGTAAGGTTTTTACAGTGCTCGCATCTGCATAAGGTCATATGAGCGCCAAGGGTTAGATGTAAACAGAGAATAAGTCCAAACGGGGAATCAGGCTAACTCTGCTCACCTCTCTAGCCTCAACAGCACATAGTCTGCTTCGACTATTAAGGCACCCCAGAAATAGCAGTTTACAAGAGAGTGACAAACATACAAAAGAAGTAGAGGAAAAATGATGGTAGTAAGGATTAGGAACGAAAAAGCAGCAGTTCTACGTGTTGTTTTGGCACAGTATGAGCATGACATTGATAAATTAGCCCATTTACAATTCTACTGTGCATAAGAACATGTTAATATCCCTCTTTTGGGAATGGTTTTAAAGATACTCCAGTCAGTAGCACTGCCCTATGGGGTTGATGAAAGTTTAAGCATTCAAAAGTTGGGATTATGTAGGTTTTTCTTCCCATTAACCTCACGACATAGAGATTCATTCATCCACTGCTTTCAAATAGACACATTTGACATGATCTGTTATATCCTTTCTTTTTTTGTGCTGGTGGAGAAGACCTTTCCTGGAGAGGTGCAAGTAAGATACATGAAGCCTACAGGAAGTGGCCTCTACATCTGGCCGGAGCCTGATGACACCTCAGTCAAACAAATTTATGACATTTGAGGCACCCTTGAACCTCCTGCGTTAGTTTCTCGTGGCCGCTACAAATTTGAATGAGCACGCACAGAGTCAACATATACGGTATCATCATCATTCGGTGCCTTGCCTCAATTGTTCTTTTCAGCTGTCTATTGATTGTCTATGCTTTGCACCCATATAGTATAATATAGGATTGGCTTGATGTAACTTTTCAGTACTCTTTTTTCTTGTTTCCAGGGACAGATTGATGTTTTAAGTCTCTATTTCATTTTATGGAAGGTTGCTTTAGCTAGGGAAATGTAGCTTTTAATTTCAGTGTGATGTCGATATCAAGGTCACCAAATATTCAAAATGTTGTACTTGCTTGAGGGAGGTATCATTTATTTTGATATTGCTGGTTGGGGTTGGAGTTTTTCTGCTTATCACCGTTGTTTCAGTTTTCTTGATACTTAGGCTTAGGCCCATGTTGTCACTCTCTTGTACGATGACATTTAATAGATCTTGTAGGTATTCTTCATCTTCTGCTATTAAGACTGTGTCGTCTGATATATCTTAGGTTGTTTACGTTATGTCCCCCTATCGAGATACCAGGCATTTCTTCTATGTGTCTCGTGATATTCTCACTATACAGGGCGTTTTTAATTTCATATCATTCAGTAAAGGCTAGCTTCACGTCTAAGAGCAGCTAAGAATGCCCCAAGTACTCAATTTCAGACATCGAAACTGTAACCATTCAGCTCTCTATTTGCTGCACTTTTTTTCTTTGTCCTTAGTCAAATACCATTGGACATCATTAGTCTGTATGTGAAAGAATTTTGTCACATCCACTCTCCACTCAGTAAAATATATAGGATCTCAAAAGGCAGTGGAGAGCAGTACCGGTATGTTTATTGTCGGACCTGATTGTAACAATCCTCACTTTCTATTTTCAATAGCTCTTTTTCATCAGTTCTAGTTTTTTCTTTTCAAAAGTACTGTGTCCATTAACTGCATTTGCTTTACAAATTACTTTCTTGTAAAGAAATAATGCATTTAAGTTTGCTACAAAGAAGTTCAAGCGGAATAAAGTATGCCATATTATGTCCAGTAACATTCCTCACCATTTAGCAAAAAATGTGTTGCCTTCCTTGTGATTTGCAATTTTGAAAAAAGTTTGGGTCTTCTTATGATTTCTCAATGTTTATATTTTTATAAAAAGATGACATTATCTTTTATCTAGGTGTACTTTGATGATGGTGACAGTCAAATTTCCTGACATTTTTCCTGTAATGTCCCTCACCATTTTATGCAATTTTCTTGAACAGTGTTGTTCTTACGTCAAAATCTTTCAAGTGGTTTTGTGTCTTCTGGTAAATAAAACATGAGCACAAGAACAAATCAATTTGATTTTGTCTGAATATTTTGTTATTGTTGTCAATGTTTGTGTATGTAACAATCCTCACCAACTTGAAAAGCAAAATTTCAGGCGTAACTCTGTCGAGCCTAATTCTCAAAGAGGTCTACAATTTTCAGGAGTGGCCAAAGAGACATTTCTCTTTAGACCTGCTATAGAAAGGTATTTAAATTTGACTTTGAATTTCGAACTTGAATGTTAGTGTTACTTTTAGTAAGCAGTACTGTGGAATGACCCATATACATAATATACTAATTTATTTGTGAAATCTAACAGCATTTCTCTCTTATGTAACAGTGCCCATGTAGTAGAAGTAGCCTACTATCTTACAATCACATCACAGAGCAGTCCAGTTAGATAATCTCATTGGTGCCAGTGCAGAGGCTGGAGAACGAAAAATTGCAAAAACAAGGTTTAAACTTTAAACCTTACAAGCCATAGTGAAGACTCAAGGTACAATATGTATATATATATTATATTTATATATGGATTTCCAGTGATCTGGAAGAAATTCAATAGGTACCCCTCCATTACTGATTCCCTCCTTCAGTTTTCAGTTTGCGCATAGTTTCCATCTTAACTACATTCTCATTGACTAAAATCTCCATCATCACAGTTTTCACAGGGGACAAACCTCCCCCCTCCCCCCCAACCCCTCAAAGGCCAACTCCAAAAGACATGCTCAAAAGGTAACTATGTTAATGGACATAACTACAATTGAACTATTAACTTCATTCTTATTATCAATATTATTGGCAAGCCCGGTCTTGAAAGTTCATAATTTTTCTACAGCATCTGCAAGCCCTTAAGCAATATTAGAAAAATAGAGATTACATTATTTCCAACATGAACATGGACTACAGTACTAAGTACTCAAACCCTCAAAAATGTATTCAATGCGTCCTTTGCATACTGATAGGCAGTGCATGTAATGTGTTTGAGATCATACCAACAATACTGCATGTTTTCACCAGTTGATCCACTGACCTATGCACAAACACACAACTCATACAGTAAATTCACCCAAAACTATCAGTACAAGAGTTGAAAGTTCACTCACACAAAAGTTTCGCAAATTTGTTAGTCAGTAATTTTTTAAATTACACTTCAAAGTTGTCTACTTTTTTTTAAAACAAGACATGACGCCAAATTTCACTCAGGAAACGAAAAGTTTGAAACATCCAACAAGCCATATACAATTCAATAAAACCCGTCGCTATCATGCATTCCACAGCTTGAACATTGGTCTACTGCTGGGTTCACCCACTCCTCCCCTCCCAGCTAAAGTTGGCGCTTTATATAAAAGTGTCCAGAAGGGAATATAATAGCTGTAAGGCCCCTTCAATTTTCACAAAACCTTGGTCCCAATTGATTTTGTCAGGTAAGATCTAAGCATCACAAACCCAGCAGTCTTAGAGAAATATCTAAATTTCTCTCAGTCTACACCAATGGTTCTCGCCCTGGGTTTAACACTTTGCGGTCACTAAGCCACGAGAGAGGCAGCAACAGACTACTCGGGACTGTCGCAGAACTGCATTGCATGACTGAAACGGATGACTTTCACCGTCGCATTATTATGGCAAGTGACCGCAAAGTGTTAATCGAACCCCAGTGACTCAGTCTCAGTGGTTCTCTGAAGGTAATGTCCCCATTTCATTCTTGATCCTACTCAAAAGGTTTCATGAATGCACGAAAAAAAACTTGCAAGTAAGGTTAAGCTCCCTCCTCAGAAGCCCAGCCCTCACCGTTTCATCGCCACATCGCCCGGCACGGGCGTCTGCCAGCGTACGTACAGTTTGCGGATCTGGTCCCACAAGACCAGGCTGATCGTGGTGTGAGGTCCCAGCCTCAGGTATGATGGACCCCAGCCCTTGTAGAAGCCCCAGACCCCCTCGGAGCGCAGGATTTTGAGAAAGCAGTCGGCAACACCGGTGTACATGGTGCCCTTCCCCGCCCCGCACACCGGCTGGTTGTACAGACGGGTTGAGATGACGTCAAACGGAGTCATGAAACAGGTCACTGCCAGGCCGCCCACCATACTGGCTGCAAAAGTGGTGACCCAGCTGTTTGGTGCAAATACCTGCAGAGAAAAAAAGTTAAAGGGAACTTATTTTGATTGTTTCAATAAGAGTTTTACAGCACGTGCAGTGCTGAAGATTAGAGATGTCACAAAAAAGCAACAAACACAAAGAAAGGAGAGATAAGGACGATAAATAGATGTTTGATAGGTAAGACCCCCACAAAGAGAACTTAAAAAGGCGGCTACAAAAATGGGGATCCAGCTGCTTAATACAAATACCTGCAGAGAATTAAAGAAAGAAAACTTATGTTTGTTTCAATAAGAGTTTTACAGCACTTGCAGCACAATTAGGTCATATACGTGCTAAAGATTAGAGGTGTCACAAGAAAGCAACAAACACAAAAAAGGATAGATTATAAGGATGATAGATGTTTGAGAGGAAAGACCCCCACAAAGAGAACTTAAAAGGGTGTCTTTAACAGATTTGGTCATCCAGCTATTTGGGGCAAAATCTACAGACAAAATGAAAATTTTGTAGCATCATCCTTTACTAGTGGGGTTGCAGTAATAAATTCACTTACGGACTAAATTCAAGAAATCAGGCCCCACAAACACTGAACCAGATGTCAGACTGGTCCTGCAATAAACTGTTTAAGTAATGTTTTCCGCGCTCGCCACTGCATAAGTTCATATGAGCGCCAAGGGGGTGGATGTCAACAGAAAAGTCCAAACGGGGAATCAGGCTTACTCTGCTCACCTCTCAAGCCTCAACAGCACAAAGTCTGCTTCGACTATCAAGGCACCCCAGAAATAGCAGTTCACAGGAGAGTGACAAACATACAAAAAATAGAGGAAAATGACGACAGTAAGGATGAAGAAAGAAAAAGCAGCAGTTCCCCTATGTTGTTCCGGCACAGTATGAGCACTACATTGATAAATCAGCCCATTTACAATTCTACTGTGCGTAAGAACATGTTAATATCCCCCCTTTGGGAACGGCTTAAAGACAACTTCAGTCAATAGTACTTCCGTGGTTGGGAGGTGGGGCAGCAGACTGTCTACTAAACCAGTACCTGAATTTGTTTGAGTAAAAAGAAGCACATCGACACACTAATCTAATTGTCATTTAAAGTTAATGCTGGGAAAAGATCAGACAGACAGGCAGAAACACCTTAGGGAAAGTAAAGAAGTAGGGGCGTCGGTGGCCTAGTGGTTAGGCTCTCGGACTCGCAACCGTAAGGTTGTGGGTTCGAATCCTGTCAGGGGCCCGACATGGTGTCCTTGGGAAAGGCACTTTACACAAATTTGTCCACACTTCACCCAGGTGGGAATGGGTACCCAGCTATAGACAGTGAAAGATCTTGTGAGTTTGTTAGTGTTTCAGCGCTTAATCAGCTGCTTGCACTGTATGCTTCCCGGGAAGCTGAGAATGTTTCGGAGTGTTCTATGGTCTGCTGGGGTAATAATACAGTGTAAAGCACATAGAGCCTGTTGTTGAGCGGGGATATGCGCTATACAAATGCTATAAATTATTATTATTACTACATGTACCACTACCAGTGGCGCACTCCAAACACCGGCGGCACCAAAAAAAACCTAAAAGAATGTGACAAGTTGAACGGTCTAAAGAAAGGAATCATTTCCAATTGCAAAATGTTACTTTGAAGGAAGTCATCTAAACGCTACTAATTGAGAAATGTTTAAAGAGCCTTCATCTGCAGTAAAGAAAACTACCGGTAGGCTACCTACACATTGGAGAAAAAAAACCTCCATAAATATGTGTGGGCGTTATGAGTGAGAACGCTGCAGACTAGGAGATGAAAACGGCTATCGAAGCAAAGACCTCCACTACCGCGCGGTAGAGAATCTTTAATCGAAGTGCCTTATTATAATATAGTTCGTAACCTCGGAGTTGGGTTTTTTTTTTCAGATTTAGTCAGCTTTACAGCACTTGCAGCACAAAAAAAATCATATAAAAGCCGAAGATAAGAGCCGTTACTAGAAACAAACACGAAGAAAATGGGGGAGAGATGAGCAAGGTTACGACGGACGTTTGATAAGAGAATTAAGGAGCAAACTAAACCAAAGAAGTCCACCAAGGCACCCGACAATCACCCGTGATGTGGACCTACACCCAGCACATCACCCTACACCATTCAGTAATCACCCACAATAAAGTATTCGGAGAAACAAAATATTCATGTCAATCATTAGAATTTATGGGGAAAAGGAAAAGGGCCTATATAGAATATATCGGGTGAAAATGTGCGACTCGCGTCAAAGGGAGATGGTGACCGACACCAACCGACAGCAAACGAACGAGAACTGGGTCAAACTCGGCTGGAATTCCCGTTGGTCTATTTTCGTCATAATTATTATTTCGCAGCGCGGCAGCGGTCGCTTTTTATCGCGCTTGAGTAGGCCAGGCTTGAATGAACGGGCTGAATAGGCTACTGAATATTGAATAACGCTGGGAGGAAATCTACGAGAGCCTTTGCATCAGCCTCAACCAATAGGGTAAATTATTGCGAGAGATTCATTGCCTTTCAGAAAACACACGTCGCGACTGGACGAGCAATGATCCCGTACAACTTGCATCAGAATTTGGGATGGATAAATAGAGCGAGGAGGCTGAATCGTTTCATTCATAGCCTCAAAGAGGAACAAGCGGCCTTGCACCAAAAGCTAAAAGCACGAACTGAGAGAAAGAGGAAAGTTTTAAAGTATACAGACGACAGAACTTCAAACAGACCCCGCAGACAAAGAAAAGCCTAATATTTCATTAGACCTGACAACCTGGTGAGTAGTACATGTAGCCTACAATGTATACAATTATGATGCTAATTGTAAACTCAGCGATGAGAGCGCCACACCTAACTGTCTATCACAACGTTTCTGTTGTAACAGGTGATCTACTACCACTGAATCAGTCTACTGACAACTGTTCCATTTGACGGCCTATTAATCTACAACAATCCACTATACTAAACATTTTCCCTTGAAATTGCTGTGATCATTTATGAGGCGGGCTGTTTTGACCCTATCTGTTAGGTCCAGCCAAGATTGAAAGGAATACAGCCATAAGCTGACAAAATGCCTTTTTTTTTTTATTCACAGAAGTTTCGAGATAAACAGGCCTTTTGTCACCACAGCCATTAAAAAATTAATAGCATTGTTCTGAAATTTTAATTTTAATTTATTTTTAGAAACTAGTCTCAGTTTCACTTTGATTTTTTTTTTTACATAAGTAAGGTAACTGATCAGGCTTTCGATTTAGCAAATTAAAAAAATTTGGCACCTAGATTTTAAAAAAGGCATTTTGTCAGCTTAATTAAGGCAGTGCTGTATTCCAACCAAAGAATAAGATGGACACACTCGATAAAATAAACCTCCTCTGGTGGGAATCCAACACATTTGCCTGCAACGGCAAAGAGCCTATTATTGCACCAGACATCAATATCACTTTTTGTGCCCATTATTAGCACAACATCACACAAAAAAAAAGGGTACAAATCATTCAGAATTAATTCTCTGAAAGACTGGCAGTAGAAAAAGGTATTTGAAAAGAAGTAATATAATGTTGAAATTTCATAAACTAATTCTTCATCTCTATAGTTCATAGGAAGAGTTAAAAAAAACCACCCAGAAAACATTTGCCTAGAAAATTTCTATAGTCAAACAAAGAGAATGACAGAAAAGAATACCCTGGTTAAAGATGATGACAATGATAACAATTCACTCATAAGATAATGGCAACAATGGAAAATGTCCACTCTGGCTTCCAAAGTGAAGGGATATGAAAAGACGATCAGTTACAATTACTGAAAGTTGGAAACAAATAATGTTGACAGCTTATAGTAGTTTACAAGTAGAATCAAATGAAAAATTTCGACCTACAAATGAACTGAACTTTTTCTTAAAATTTCATCTCATCTGTTCTCTTTTTGTACTCATTTTCAGATATAATCAATCACTGGAGGATACGTCAACTTCCCATTCAAATACTCCAAACAAATCCAGCCCAACCAACTAACTCTATCTCAGCACGAGTCTCACTCTTTTAATTAAGCAAAGAGTTCCAACAACATCCTCATCGTCATCATGTTTGGTCGATTCGGTTGCATCGTCATCGGCATGTACGCCGGCATCCTGATCAAACAACGCTATCGGATCCCCGAGCTGATAAGCCCCGGCGAGATCCTGGGCAGAATGAAGGCCTTCGAGCACAACCAGAGATGGGAGGACTACCAGTACCGTTACCACAACCATGGCTGCTGTCACCATCCCGACCAAGGGGACAGAGGCCCCCGCATGTGGGAGCGTATGAGGGAGTTTGAGCAGCGCCACAGACGGGAGCAGCCCACCACCCCACCACCCCAGCCCACCCAACAGACTGCTCCCACTGCCACCTCCGGGGAGTCAGAGGCCGCCAGCTGCTAAACATTCCCAAGAGAAAGCACATCTTCAACAGCTTCTCTTTACTTTTACGAAAGAGTTTTACGGCACTTGCAACACAAATGGATCGTATAAGTGCCAAAGATTAGAGGTGGTGCTGAAAAGTAACATATAATATAATAGTAAAGACGGAGGAGAGATAAGGACCATAGATATTTGAAAGGAATGCAGGAGCAAACCATATCACAACACCCACCAAACCACAGCTGGTCTGAACAACACTCCATGGACCACTGCACCTACAAAAGGAAGTTTGACCCAGTTCCAGCTCCTAAAAATTATTTTACATATGTGTCTCAGTCCCCCTGTTTGTAGTTTAGCCTGTTTGGCTATGCCAGCAGTGACTGTATGGAAAAGAACAGAAGCTCAGTACACACAGAGGAGATGAATTTGATCAAAGACCATGTGGATTAAATTCTAAGAGTGAGGTTGTGTAGAACACACAACAACCAAGGGAGACTAATACATGCTCCATTATCTCTTATCAAACTGAATTTTAATAACAAAAGGTGGTCAAAACACAGAGGGAGGAAAACAAGATATTCAAACTAAACACAGACATATCAGAGGACGGAGGGGTGGGGAGGGAAGAGAGGAAGCATTCCGTTTGCTAGACCAGGACCTATTTACAGGTCACATGAGCAATAAAACTTATGGGAGGGCTAGTCCAGTTATCCAAACTATCAGAGTATTACAGCAAACAACTTAAAAATGGCTACACCAGCATTTGTGGCATGATAGCAGTCAGATGCTTCACCACTGCATGCAGATGATGTGAGTTCTATTCCCATGTGGGGAGAATTAATATCAAGTATCCTCATCTTTCACAAGTGGTGTTGTATCACTCTCAGCCCGGGCTGGCCTTGACAGGAAAGGTTGGAGTAGCCCACCTCCTGAATTGTCTTAATAATGTCAAGGAGAGGGCGTAAAACTTCTATTATAATACCTTTTTTTTAACAACGGCTACAAATGCTAAAAGCAAGTAATGGAGCATAATAAGATGTAGCCTCACAATACCCTAAATCTTTCATGGCACTGTCCTTTTTCATTCAACTTTATATCATGTAACTTGTTTTACTGAAAAAAGTCAAGTTACATTTATATTTCTTTTATTAATTTGATACATTGAGTGCTTTTTTACACATGTATATTTATTATTATGTATACAGTTTATTAAAAAAATACAGGTTTTTAGATTACCTGTTTTCACGTCTGGTTTATACATTCATTCAGTCTTTTTATGACTCCCTTTTTATACGAAATTCCTTCTTTCCCACTCTTATTTCTTGTTTTCCTTACACAGTCGACAACATAATAAAAATCAGAAGCCTTTGCATTTACTCAGTAATTGTTAGTACTGTTGGCATTCTCCATTGGCAAGACCTCCATACACTATGAATTATTAGCATAGTTTAAAAAGAAATATATAAGGATGTAACCAGATAAGGTGCATCGCCTAAAACTATGTGGTACAATCATTGTGAAATGGTGAATAACTATGGTATTCTAAAGAAGTAGATTATTCATAGTACATGAGTATGAGTACTGATATTCTGGATTGTTTTAGAAAGAGTTATACGGCACTTTCAACACAATAAGGTCTTATCAGTGCCGAAGAATAGATAATGTGTTACAAGAGAATAACATAAACAAAAAAGAAGGAGGAGAGAAAAAAACAACAGTTGTTTGATAGGAAAGGAGCAAACCACACCCAAGCACCCGCCAACCATCTACTTTGGGGTTGACATATCACTGAACAAAAAGGTCAGTTTGAAGAAAGAGCAACTGGTACCCACACACCAGGATTAAAGGGAGGATAAATTCCTTTAGAAAAGAGAAAAATGAAAATTTTAGTTAACATTTGACTTTGTACTCAGACATTTCAAATTTATTGTAAAAGAGCCGAGAGGACATAGGCACTTACTGCAACGTGTTGAAATACTTATTAGATGATGGTGCAAGGGAAAAGAAAAAGGTGAATTAATGGTTTATAATAATAGCTTAGGTTCAAAGCCCCTTTCAAGGCTGTTAGCAGTAGATTATTTAAGAGACAGGACCTCTATATTTAACATTCGAGATGACAGGACCCAGTCAACCAAACAACACAAGTTCAAGAAATTCCCTCTGAGGATTCTATCTCTTACCATTTTATAAAACTAAGAGGAGCCCCTCTAAGCAATAATTCTTAATAAAATTATAAACCTGGAGGCAAAAGAGAGCCTCATAACCATATTTTTCCTTTGAGGCAGAGAGCAATGAGGAAAGAAGCTTATGAGCAGAAGGACATGTGGATAACAGCCAGAGGTAACTGCGAAAGAAGCCACGTTTGGCATCAATAGAATGATACATTAAGTGACAGGATTAAGTTCAAAACACCCTTAATAGAATAGTACTGAGGGGAAAGAACTGCCCCAAATGATTGGTACTGGGGGGGGGGGGGGGGGGGGGGTAATATATTTCCATGTACTCACTTTTGTGCCCTCAATAAAGTTCTTAGCGGCAGAAAACGTGGAAAGCTGCGATGCAGATCCAACCGTGACACGAACCACAGCACCACTCACTCCCCTCCACAGGCCCAAAAATCCCTGAGACTTGTAAATGGTCTGAAAGGACAAAAATATTTTGTGACAAAATGCAATTTTCTTTGATATGATATGTGGCATTTACATCTATTAAAATTACTAAAACTATGTTCCTCTACCATGGTCATCAGCAGCCTGAAACAGAAGTTTATATCAGCCCCGATGATGAGGAAAAATTGCTCCCCAAAAAAATTCCTGGAAAATGTGCACAAAATTCCATGTCTAAAAAAGTTTATCTCATAGATCTATGCTAGATAAGAATCAAAGTACAGTCAGTCAAGCACAGATGATTCAAACACTCAAAACTCAAATTCTTGGAAAGCTTCAACAATATGCCATCCCCCAACCGAGCCACCATATTGACAGCACTTTTCTAGAACACCCGCATGGACGTATCGAACAGCCCATCTTGAAAAACCTGATCAAATTTTCCCCCAGTTGTATCAAATTCAAATTGCCCTGTTCGCAAGATGGGAAACAACACACCCATTGTCATTGAAAGTATCGGGTTACATGAGACCACCAGGCTGGCGTCCTAGGCAACACAATACCTGCACACACTGCTGGTATAGAAGCATATCACCGCACATTGATTGCTTGTAGTGTGCGCGAGGCGTTAGGACTGGACTAGAGCTTCGTTGAATCTAGCAGTACTGTGAGGCAGGGTGTTTGTTTTAGTTTTAGTAAGAGGTTTACGGCACTTGCAACACAATAAGGTTATACAAGTGCCAAAGATTAGAGGTGTTATAAGAGAGTAACAAACACAAAAATAGAAGGAGGGGAGAAAAGGACGATAGATATTTGATAGGAAAGAAGGAGCAAACCACACCAGAGCACCAGCCAACCACCCACTAGAAGGTGCTTGGTGGTGGGGTGTGATCAAAGGCAGTTTGGTGCAACCGCTGTAATGGGCCGGGTGGCATGTTTATTTTTTATAGTAGAGGGTTTTACGACGCTCGCAATTGCATAAGATCATATGAGCGCCAAGGGGTGGGAGTCAACAGAGAAGTCTTTACAGGGAATCAGACTTAGACTGCTCACCTCTCTAGCTTCAACAGCACAAGGTCAGCTTCCACTATCAAGGCACCCCAAAATAGCAGGTCACAAGAGAGTGACAAACATACAAAAGAAGTAGAAGAAATGACAAAAGTAAGTATCAGGAAAGAAAAAGCAGCAGTTCCCTGTTGTAGAGCAGGCACAGTTATGAGCGTGACATGAGTCAGCCCATTTACAATTCTACTATGCTTGAACGAGAAATGTACCCCCTTTGGGAATGACCTAAAGACACTACAATCAGTGGCACTGCCCCGGAGGGTACCGGGTGGCGTGTGAATTAAATAATATAATGATAATAATTGCCAATACACAGCGTGCATCAATGCTCTACAGCATGCTATTTGCATTTAACTACTATTACTACTGCATCAAACCCTAGAACACTCAGAAACATTATCGACTTCCAGGGAAATATGGTTGGGTTTGTGTGTATATGAGTGTGTGTGTGTGGTAATTTGCACATGAAGGAATAGATCGGGAAGTGATTATAGAAGAAGGATAAGTGGTGTGCTCTGACCAGTGTTAGTTCACCATCATCACCATCATCTGACGTAAGAGCAATTTTAATTTTTTTTTTGTCATAACGCTCATCAACTCACTCCCTTCCTTTCTCTCGCTCCGACACCGAACTAGGCACATGCACTATCCACTCTTCTATCTTTTTTTTGAGACGGTATACTTTTCAGGAGGGAAAAGAAAAGAAAATGTCATGGTTACTTCCCTTGATTTTCTTCAATATCTCTCTTTTATTTTTCAGTGTTGCATTTTATTAAAATTACGGGTGTGGAAAAACACATTTTCCAACCCCCCACAAAGGGATCGAGATACCCATGCTTGACTGTAAAAGTGAAGAATCTTCATAGAGCAGGTGAAATAAATAATTCTCAGCCCATTCTTTTTATGAACAAAAGAACCTGAAACTTACTTTAAGTCCATGAGACATGGACTCGTGAGGATGCTGATGTCCTACAGCAATTTCATGATTCGCTTGAGCCTGTAGTTGTGTCTTTATCTGTGATGGCAAAGAAATGACATAGAATTTAACATGTGTAGCACTGTCAGCAAGAACTGTAAATAAAGCCAAGTTATGAAGTCCATTTATTACATTCAGTTTTGAATAGATTAAAGAGAGTAATCATCATGTCATAATATCACTTTCTTTCAGGCATCAAATTTTTATGGTCTGAGAAAACACATATCCATAAATAAATAGAAGTAGCACAAGCCACCTTGGATTTTTTAAAATACATTTAAAAGTTTCAATTTAATGCTTTTTTGAAAATGATACTGACTTAACATGTCCTGCTTTGTCTTTAAATTTAAGATGATATCTGAATACGTATGTTTGAGAAACTGAAAGTATGCATTAAAAAAATACCAAACTCTAACATATTTCACAACGACACACACTGGAAGTGTCACTGTCACATAAGTATTTTAAAAGTCATTACTTACCAAATAAAAAGGACTTCCAATAACAGCACCAACACACCCAGCAAATGCACCAGCAGGTACACTTCTGAGGAAACTGTGGTTTCCGTTCTTATCCTTTGTTAAGCCCCAATTCACTTGAAGCTGTAAAAAAAACCAAGAGTAGCATCAACTCAGTCTTCAAAGTAAATAATTTGAAATACAGCACAAGAATATCTATGGGAGCAGTCTCAAAATTATTTGGGAAAATTCAACAAGTACCGTCTACAAATTCAGATTAGGGGTGAACATCTTCCATTACGCACGCAAACCTTCCCAACATTCCATGACCAAAAATAGGAATTTTTCCCAGATACCTAAAAATAGTAGTCAGGAAAAAAACATTAGAGTCTCCAGAACATCAGTAAATTAAAGACAACATAATAAATCTACTGTGGTGAATAATATGTATTGCAAATACATGCAAATGAAAATGTGTATTTTCACCTAATTTACAATTATCCTTGCAGCACTGAGCTATTTTTCACCGTCACTTCTATCATTTTTTTCTTCAGACATCAGCAAAATCTCTTACCGCTTTTGTTTGGCGTTTTACAATATAAAATGTAGAACATTTTTCAAAGACAATGGGATAGATTACAGTAAAATTATGACAATGAGTTTCAGGTGGCCAGCACCTTTTATGTGGCCAGCACCCTATGAGAAATATATATTATGTGAGTGCGTGCGTGCGTGTGTGTGTGTGTGTGCGTGTGTGACTGGGCCTGGGGGGAAGGAGACTCAAGAGGGGAAACATACACCATTAGGGCCGTTAGGGTTAAAGTTCAAAAGTAATTAAAAAGGGGAAAGAAATGAAAGCCACAACACTCATATATGCATACAAAAATAATCAAGAACAGTTCAAATCAAACGACATCAAAAGCAGTGTGAAATGGTTTTGAAAAATGTGATTGACCATACTGGAAGAAACAATCCCACAGCAATGAGAGATGGAGAGAATTTAAATTTGTTGATTTTAGTGCCAACAAATGATCTGTACATTTGTCCCCGGGCCCTCCCGAATCAGCAAAGCAGGAAAAAAACCTTACAACATCGATAGATGAACAAATGAACAATACATTACAAGACAAGCTAAAATACGTTACAAAAACAAAGTGCTAATATGTATGTTAACAGACCTGAAATGTTCCTAGTCTCGACCCATTCATAAAAAACTGATAATAAATTGCAGGAACAAGACCACTCTGGAGAGCTAAGAGTCCATCCGAACGGGCAATTGTGATGAATGCATGTAGCGCATTACGATAGTGAACCTGAAATAAAATAAGGCAGATGTAAAAATTTCAGGCTTCACAGCTTTGTCAAAATCATACAAGTATATTTTTTTTTAACTGCACGCCACAAAATGCAAAGTTTAGTCAGGTTGTGTGCCACTTGTAAAAGAGACACACAAACTTAAATACCACAGAGCAGAATATCTTTCCTCAAAGAGCCATCCTCAGTTCATGTAAAATTGATTTCATGCCTTTTGTAGCAGAAAGTATTTCTTGTCTTTTTCCCTTGTTCATGACTATTTTGCTACTCTATGCTTCAATGTCACAAAATTATATGTTGACAAAAAAATATTCTTTGATAAATTATGGAAGTGAATGTCACTTTTTCTCATACTTTATATGACATTTATGCTAACAAAATCATGCTCTCAAAGAACTGAAGATAAACATTACTGTTCATTACAGCAAAAAATAAGCTAATAAAATCATGAAATTCTAACAACTCACAGCATACTGTCCGAGGGCTTTCAATTCTCCTTGCAGCTGCATCCGAGTCTTCACAACCTCCAAGGGATTAGTGAAGAACCCGGCCCCACAGGTGGCCAGGCCACCAAGAACAAACTCCATAGCTCCATGACCGTTGCTCATGTTGAGGGACAGACTCCTCAAGGTAGCATGCAAAGGTACGACTCCTTAGCCTCTACACCTTCGCCAACTGTGATGTGAACGTGCTGCTATTGCTTCAGCAGGAAACTGCTTTGTGTCCTCAGGAAGCAACTCACATCAACTGGCATTATTCTGAAAAGATCATTTAAAAATAAATGAATATAATACATAATTACTCAGTGATGTTACAATTTCAAAATACTATGCCATTAATGGAAGAAGTAACAGGGTTGAAACCAAAGCAAGTCACTTTTTCATTTAAAGTGAGAATCACCAAAAGATGATTGTAACTTTTCAGATCAATGTATCTGCCTTGCGTTTTAATGTATGGTATGTGACCACCTTCCTAAGTGAATTTTAATTAGAAAAGATATAATATTATATATAACACATACACCACACCACATGGTACCTCTCTTTTGATCATAGAGACCTAGGGGGGTGGGATACACAATCTTAATAATCTAGAAGAATTTTTTAACTACAAGAGCAAAGCATCAAATGATGGGGAAAAAACAGGGTTGGGGGGGGGGGGGGGGGGGGGGGAAACCTGCCCTGGCCCGGGTTATATTCAGAGTCCGAGAATTCGGGTACTCAAGTTAGGTAAGATTCAACTTCCCCCCCTTCTCTTTTTTTTCTTTTGTGGGAAAAAAAAGGCACTTTAAAATTTTTTATTTCCTCGAAAATCCCCCTCCCACTTAAAAAACCAAAAATGGGGGGGGGGGCGAAAAGGAATAAAATCCCCATTTTTTTTTTCTCTATTCTTTTTTTTTGGGGTCCCCCCCTAGAAAAAAACTAAATGGGCTGAAAAAAAAGGGGGGGGGGGGGGGGGGGGGGGGGGGAGACGCAATAATTAATTGAAAAAAGGGGGGCTAGGGAGCCATACATTATAATACAATGGTAATCTGGAAGGAATAATCATGCGGTAGTAAATTATACACACCCAAATTGCCCAAATTTGAATAGATCGTTGGAAATAAAAGCAATTAACACATATATTGCAGAGCTGCATTGTAAATTGTTTTTATTTTATACATTTAGTCCATTTTCATCTCAACAAGACGCTTAATATGCATTTCATAATAAAAATAAGTGGTAAAACAGGCATAGAATTTTAAAAAAGACTCTCTAGACAAAAAAAAACTGCAGCACATACACATGACTAGTACTAGTACCACTGATGATAAAAATCCACTATTACTATTACAGTATAAAGTGGAATATGGACATATAAAAATGCAAATCAGAAACAGCCTAGCATACACAGCTGGAAATAGTCAATAAAAAAGCAATTGGCCCCAACCATAGCTCTATGGAGTGTGGGTTTTGGTTTTACGACGATTACTTCTGGTTCTAAACAATTACTTTTCGACACGCAAGCCGATATGATGCTTAACTCTCAGCGAACAAGAGATATCAAACTTAATTGAATTACAAAAAACAAAACATCAAATTGTGTCACGACGCGGTGGAATCAGGCACTCATCAATTTTTGGGCATGTGGAGTTATTCGTATCATCTGAAAGCTGATTTATTTATCTGGCTCTCAATGAAAAAAAAATACCCATCTATCTTGAATAGAACTCAAGACATCTGCAATTGAAGGAAGTGAGGTTGCCTGGTTTCAGTGGTGAAATTAGCGAGAAAATGCGGCTAAAGTTTGGTAACAGTAACTCCGCTAAAGAGTCTTTGAAAGCTGAAATATATGACATATATTTTGTGCCTTTAATCATCAATGTTTTTCCATAAAATCAACACACATAAAAGTGATTTTGAATGGACATACAAGGTGTTGAGCCAAAAAACAAATATTCAAAAATATTTCCAAACTGGCCAAAAAATGCCGATTTCATCATTTTGACAAGCACCTGAATTCACCACGATGCCTTACAATCATGGTTTAATTCAGGGGACATGCCCCCCCCTGAAACTCCCCCACCCCCCGTGTTTTATAAGGGGGGAGGAGCCCCCATAAAACCCCCGATCTTGATAAAAATACGTGGGGGGCTCTCGTGGCCTAAAGGTTAAGGTGTATGCCTCTCACTCAAAGGTACAGGGTTCGAATCCGGAAAGCAACGGAAATATTTTCTTTTCTAAAATTGTCTCCTTCCACCTCCCTTCCTGCTCTATAGCACAATGTTCTGTCGTCTGCTTTCATCTCCACTTTCTGCCCCCACCCCTCTTCTGGGTTCCTGACTCTTTTTGCAGCCTTTCTACTGCTACTCCTTGACCCCTTCTAACTGCTGTCTTTCAGCCACACCCCTGATCTTCTGGCTGGTAAGACAGATCTACACCTAATCTTCTAGGACAAGGGCGAAAAATCTCGGAGGACCCATGTGTAAGTTGCACATTTTAAGATCCCTTGGTGGTCCAAAATCAATTCAATAAAAGTAGGCTTTGGCCACCATCTGGGCAAAGTTTAAATTTGAAAATTTCCTACAGACTGAAATTTTTTTAATGTTTAATGTGTCCTGCGCGCTCATATGACCTATGAAAAAATGTTATTAAATTCGGACTCGGGTCCGGAAAAAAGGAAGTGTCTTCGTTCTATAGATCTAACGTTCAGTGCTTCCAACTTTCCGCCATTTTTTAATTTCCCCCACACCTTATCTGCCGATCCAATGCCCGCCGCCTCATTGATACGCCCCCCCCCCCCCCCCCCCGTTTCCCACTTTCTTTGTTGTAGAAAAAGGTAAAATTGAAGATTAGCAGACCACCTGGCATATTTTATGGGCTGTGTAAAAAAAAGAAAAAAAGACCGATTCGTTCAAATACACAAGCCTGTGTCATATCGATTGTTTACCAAGTAAAAGTTGTGTTGCTGTGTGTAGAGCTGATCATACGGCAACTTTTGATTCCATAGACCAGCGCACAATTTATTACGTATTCATTGCGTAGATCTACGTCAAAACTAGCTTAAATTATTGTAATAATGATCAGCTGCCAGGGGGAAAAAGACCGACGCATATGCGACGTTCAAAGCCCGGACAGATAGTGCCCCCCACCACCCTCCCCGACACGCACACAGCCACACGTGTGCAGGCCGCCCATCCGACCCCGACACATGCTAACGAGCCATCTTTAATTGCTTCTGATGACCTCTTGATAAATAAACATTTATTAGAAGCGCTATAATAACTTTTCAGGCCGGCCTCAAATTCATCATAAGATTAAAACTCGCCTCCTGCACAAAACGCCTTTTTGCCCGAAGTGATCCCGGTCTCTACCCAGCCTGAGGCGAGTCACGAGTGAGGCAGGACAGGAAGCCGGATTCACGAGTCACAGGAAGTCGGAAGTGATGTCATGCTGGACAAGAATCAGAGTCCGAATAACATTTTTTCATATTCGGACTCGAGTCCGAATAATCACTTCGAAACTTAAATAGGCCACACATCAAGTTCCATGCGAGCCACTTTGAATTTTTGATACGGTGATTCCGAAAATGAAATCAATTTTTAGCAGCGATAATTATTTTAAAAATTCTGCATGCAAAGTTTAATCCCGCGAGGCGGCAAACTTCAAAGGTATTTTGCATCACAGTTCGCCTCTCCAATTCTGACTTGTGTGTGTGTGTGGGGGCGGGGGGGGGGGGGTGCGGGCGGCGCTGATCGCGGCGAGACACGAAACGCACGGTCTGTGACATCATCATCACCTCCTGGTGTCACTCCCAGTACCGGACCCAGGGCCGAAAAAGTACCGGATCGGCACTGGGTTTTGCCACTCGCCCAGCACTAGATCTAGATATAGATCTAAGTCTAATAGTAATACGCTCGTAAATGTGTGTGCAGTCAAACCACAGACACCCATTGTCAAGGAGAAAAGTGGCCGTATTTTATACTGGTGGCCGTCTTTGACAGGACTGGTCAAATGAATAATTAGCAAATCAATCTCTTCTGAGGTCCCCCCCCCGAACAAAGACAAAGTTGCACACACACGCCACACGCACACACGACAAACACATGCATGCATACACATCTAGAATATATAGATTCTAATCTAGATCTATCTAGTAGTAGAGTAACTGTAAAATCATAATTAAATAAACTGAGCGTAAATCATACCTTCATTATTGTTGTACTCCAGTTACCTCATGTAAATGCCACTGTCAATAGCTTCTCGCATACTTACTCCGAAGGATTGGCTTTCTGTTTTGACTGTTCACTGTCACCACAACTGTTCGTTCGTTCCACAAGTTTTCCTTTCGCCTTTCACCTTTCAAGGGTAATCACTCTGACGGCTAACGCTAACGCTGATGTAATAATTCTTTATCGCCTTTTCCTTTCACGAGGACTGCGATTCGCATTATTTAATTTTCTTTATTTTATTGCATATTATCCGTTTTTCTTTGGCAAAAGTGTAGACAGCAGGAGAGAGAGAGAGAGAGAGAGAGAGAGAGAGAGAGAGAGAGAGAGAAAGAGAGACAGACAGACAGACAGACAGATAGACAGACAGAGACAGGGGGGGAGGGAGTGAGGGGGCGTTTGGCAATTTAAAAAAAAAGTTTTTTAGTTACTTTCTGGCTAAATGCGTTTTATGCCGTTTTGTAAACACATTTTTGTGTGTAGTTTACTTAAAATTAATGTTGGTTAAAGGCATAAAAAAAGGAAAATTTTCAGTTTCCATAATGGACTCTAAGACTCAAGCTATGGAACTCACCAAAATTTGAAAGCCATTTTCTCCCTAATTTTCCCGTCCATCCTCATCTCCTTTAATTGCATTCTCTATATCTTGACTTCTATTTAAATTAAGACAGATGGGTATTTTTTTTTCTTCAAAAGAAAGGAAAATGATCACACGCTTTAAGAGGACATCAATAGCTTAACATGTCCAAAAAAAATTACAAACTCCAGATTCAACCGCGTCGTGACTCTTAAGGGTGTATCACACGTTCAGATAAAACTGACATGCAGTCATGTCCGTCCTCTTTGTGATATGAAAATAATGGCATGATGCAATCGTGATAAAAAATAAGTTTATAAATGAAAAGTTGGTCGTCCGGGAGGGAGGGGGAGGGGGTGTCGTGGTCAATGTATTCGCCTCTCATTCAATAGGTCCCGGGTTCTAAAGCAACGGGAAAAAATTCTTCCCTAAATTGTAATTTTCTACATTCACATCCTTTCCAACTCTCTAACAATGTTCTGTCGTCTGCTGTCGTCTCTATTTTCTGCCCCCATCCCTCACATCCTTTGCCCCCTCCTCTGGGCTCCTGACTCTTTGTGCAGCCTTTCAACTGCTATTCTTTAACTCATTATTGATGTCTTTCAGCCACACCCCTGATCTTATTGTAAGTAAGATCTAAACATAACCTTCTCGGATAAGGGCGAAAAATATCTGAGGCCCGTCTGAAAGTTGCGCACGTTAAATTTTAAGGTCCCTTGGTGGTCCAAAATCGATAAGAGGAGACTTCGGCAGCCACCTGAGCAAAATTCTAAATTACTTACCAACTGAAAATGTTTAATGTGTCCGGCGCGCTCATATGACCTTATGCAGTTGTGAACGCTGTGAAACACCTAGGCCTACAACAACAACAACAAAATTGTCGTCACCGGGCCGCAAGCGTGACAGACTGTCTGACCGATTGGCCGCAACGAGAACCACGCATAGCCTGATTTTTGTGTGTCCGGTCTGAGGACTGTCTGCCTCCGGCTTGTGAGAAAATGTTCGTTTATAAACTTAAGGGAAACTTAGCTGCGTTTTAATGTAAAAAAAATAATACCAAATTCGGAACCAGCCTAGTTTATCAATACCAAAATGACTAGCGAATGGCTCTTTTTCTTGCTGGATTTTGAAGATCATTTTCTTTTCTCAAAATGGAAGGGCAAGTGTCAGTTTTATCTGAACGTGTAATACACCCGTAAGTGTCACGACGCTGTGGAATCAGGCGTTCGTCATTTATGTATATATATATATATATATATATATATATATATATATATATATATATATATATATATATATATATATATATATATATGCCTACAGGTATATATATATATGCCTACAGGTATATATATATATTTATTTTGTTTGTTTGTTTGTTTAGGCATGTGGGGTTATTGATATCATCTTAAAGCTTGTTCATTTTCCTTGCTTTCGATTTAAGAAAGAACCTATTTGTCTTAAAGAGGAGTCGAGATATTTGCGATCTAAGGAGATGGGGGGTCGCCCGGTTTCAGAGGTAAAATTAACGAGAAAATGGCTGCTGAGGTTTGGTCAATTTCATTGCTTGGGAGTCCTTGGAAACTGAAAACCTTTATTTTTTTATGCCTTCAATCAACATTTTTCTGTAAATTCCACACAGAAATGTGTTTATAAATAGACATAAAAGGTGTTATAACTACACCCGCTATATTTACTCACCATTTCTGAACTATCATCTTACAGGTGCTAAAGGTTCGGCACTTGAAGGAGACGCACGACGTGGGGAGCCCAGAATTTAAGCCCGTCTGCGAAAGCATCAAGCAAAAAATCTAAATTATGAAAGCCTGTCGGTACCTGTTTTGATGTGTAAGCAAAAAAAAAAATTGCGTGGTCAATTAATGTCACCCCACCCTTCTTCTCTTTGAGTTGTTTCAATTAATTGGTCAGAGGCAGATATCATTTTTCACCCAACGACAGCATAATGATTAAGCTTACCATAAACGCATGACCACTTCGCGCTTTCCCTGTGGCCTTGATAATCGACGATTTTTTTGTTTTGTTTTGTTTTGGTCTCGGACCTTAATTTATTTAAAAGAAACTTTAATGTTGACGTTGCATCCTTCATTTTAATTTCACCTGGTTTTAAGCTAAGTTTGAGTAATGAGAAGCACATCGTCATGGTAACGCCCATTTTGAAATAAAAGTTAAAAAAAGAGACGAGTTCATATAAGATATACATAATTATATCAATATATTGCACTTGTTAGTGTGTGTGTGTGTGTGTGCGTGCGTGCGTGCGTACGTGCGTGCGTGCGTGCGTGCGTGCGTGCGTGCGTGTGCGCGTGTGTGCGCGCGTGAGTGTGTGAATGAGAGAGAGGAGGGAGAGAGAGAGAGAGTAGGAAAGACAGAGAGAAAGAGAGAGTGTGGCAGACATAGAGAAAGAGAGAGAGGGAGAGAGAGAGATAGATAGATAGATAGATAGATAGATAGATAGATAGATAGATAGAGAGAGAGAGAGAGAGAGAGAGAGAGAGAGAGAGAGAGAGAGAGAGAGAGAGAGACAGACAGACAGACAGACAGACAGACAGACAGACAGACAGACAGACAGACAGACAGACAGAAACAGACTGACAAATTGATAGACAGATAGGTAGACAGACGGACAGGCAGAAAGACAGACAGGCAGACTGACTGACTGACTGACTGACTGACTGACTGACTGACAGACAAAGAGAGAGAGAGAGAGAGAGAGAGAGAGAGAGAGAGAGAGAGAGGGGGGGGGAGCAAGAGAGAGAGAGGAAGAGAGAGAGAGAGAGGGAGAGAGAGAAAGAGAGAGAGAGAGAAACAGACAGACAGACAGACAGACAGACAGACAGACAGACAGACAGACAGACAGACAGATAGACAGACAGACGGACGGACAGACAGAAACAGAAACAGAAACAGAAAGAGACAGAGATAGAGACAGACCGACAGACAGACAGACAGACAGACAGACAGACAGACAAAAAGGGACAGAGACAGAGGCCAGAGGCAGATCCATTTCTGGAACCTGAGATCATAAATTCAGAATTTCCTGTGATAGTAAATGGCGTTTGTGGCTCGTTGCCTCTAACTTATAAAGAAAATTTACATCACAGTAATTGTAATGCTCAAGTAAATCTAAGTTGCTCTGATCTACAAGGCCTAAACGTTTCAGAAAGAGATGCATAAAGACGTTTATTATAATACACTTTCTGGTCTAGCTATGCATACTAAGCATAAAGCTGGCATTTCTAATCTTCTGACACATAAATTAGTATTTCACTACCTCAGAATTATAAAGCTACATCTGCTAAAAGTACCTAATTTTGAGAAATTTGACGTAAAAGATTTTGCATTTCACAACGTGTCAAGCTTTTTCGAACGCAATTCTTTGTTTGAATATCTTGATGATGACTACAAAATAATCTTACGATTTGACAGAGCAGAAAGAACATTAAGGTTTTTGATCTCTTGGTCTTTTAGTAACTCAAAACGGCCAAAAATGTCAGATAGAATTTAATTGTAATTCGAAGGTAGCAAGTTTCATTACAAACGCCCTAGCAAATTGCATGACATTGTCTTTGTTTTTGTTTTTTTATCTTTTTATGCATGGTTTGGGATGTGTGTGTGTGTGTGTGTGTGTATGTGTGTGTGTGTGTGTGTGTGTGTGTGTGTGTGTGTGTGTGTGTGTGTGTGTGTGTGTCTGTGTGTGTGTGAGAGAGAGAGAGAGAGAGGGGGGGGGAGAGAAAGAAAGAGAGAGAGACAGAGAGAGAGAGACAGAGAGAGAGAGACAGAGAGAGAGAGACAGAGAGAGAGAGAGAGAGAGAGAGAGAGAGAGAGAGAGAGAGAGAGAGAGAGAGAGAGAGAAAGAGAGAGAAAGGGGGGGGGAACAACTATGTAACGTGTCACACAGAATAGAACCCACAAAACACACTGACAACACGCACGTTACATAAGCACAGAGAAAATGTATTCAGGGAGCACACTGACTGACGACACAATAATTATTCAACTCTGTCTTCGAAAGTATGTCGTGTCACCAGAATTACAAAGTTCTATCTGCTCAATACCTAGTTAAGAGAAATTTGAAGTAAAAAAGTTTCAGTTTCATATTCAAGATTTTTCGAGTGCAATTCTTTGAATATTGCATTGTTATGACTCAGAATATTCTTATGATCTTGATAGAGCAGACAAAAAGAAACTTGCTTTCTGACCAAAAATGTCAGATAGAACTTTGTAATTGTGAAGAAGCGATGTGTCATCATTACGTAGATCTAATCTTTCTCATGTTAACGAGGCTTGTAAAATTGATTCGTGAGGCCTACTGATCACGTGACATTAATTTTCTATTATCACAGCGACGGTGCTGTATCTCATTATAATACTTAATTAAGTTAAATTCCTTTCCTCTTTGCACAAAAAAGCAATACAAGATTATGATGACTACTCTAAATAATTCTTCAAAATCGTTTTTAAACTCTACTAAACCTAGATGTAGGTA